TTCTCAATAATTCAGTTACTCATTTAAAATAATATTTCTTTATGAATTAATATGAATAAAATATTCGAAGTTCATTTAGCAATGGATAAGAAATAAAAATTAGAAACCGATTCTTAATCGAAAGAACGATCTCAACCAGATGTTCATCTGTTACACAATGAATCGACGAACAATGGCTTCACCTTTCGAGGACGCAAAGAATCGCCGATCCCCTTTTAAACCGAACAAATTTAACGCTTGTGCGTGGACCACCGCCAATTTAAATGATAATAAGCGCGTGTATATAAATATATGTATATATATATTTTAACTCGTAACAGAGTGGAATAAACGTTAGACTGCTTACGCATGGAGAACAGTAACGCGCTAACCGCTCTTGTGGACAAGTTTGTTTATATCGGTGTGGTGGGGACGAATTTGTCGCGTGCTCGAGGAAATTGGGTCATCATCGTCGCGCGCAACCGGATATACAAGAGGTGAAAATATAAGTGGAATTTATTCGTTCTCGAGCAATCGAGACGAGTTAGTCAAGCGTGATTAAAATTGAATTTTTTTTCCCCCGATTGATTATACACGAGCGAATTACCGATAGACGGTAAAATAGAACTTGATTCGAATCCCACCGAGAAAATGATTTTCAAATTTTGCTTGTTTTAACATTGCATTTAATATTTAAACGGGGGAAGATAATTTTACTCGTAGCTCGAAAAATTTCAAACGAGAAAATTTTATACCATATTTTTCTTTTTTTTTTTTTCCATTTGTACCATCTCGCTTTAGCTCGATTATCGTGGAATTGACTATACAGCGTACTTATATTAAAATATTACTGTACCGTGAAATATATTTATAAATTATCCACTAAATATCATTTAAATGGATCGTTTACTCTAGTTTATCGTTTACTCTAGTTTATCGTGGAATAATCGACGGTGAATAAAATATGGATTTCGATCGTTCCACGTGGAAACACGAGGAGAGAGACAAGTTTTCCCCGGACGCGATCGTTTGTCACTCCACAGTTCGACTAGATCCGTTTAATTAAGAGAACAAGGCATAAACCAATTCACTTTTGCCAAGGTTCCACGGTATCTATCCATCTGAGCCGCGCCAAGAACGAACCAACCATTAATAACGTCTCGTATTACCTCTCGCCCAAACAACGACCAAAATATTTTTACCTCGTGCCTTTACTTAATACTCGCACTTTACTTTGTCATTTCTAAGAAAAATTTGTTTTTCTTTTTTTTCTGCTCTCGAACGAATTCGAAGAGAACAACCTAAATAAATAAATAAATAAATAAATAAATAATAAAATACAAAATACGAAATTCCTAATTCAATGACTCCCAATTAAATTAAATTTTATTAATATTTATTATTATATATAAATAAATACATAAAAGATTCCACGATGAATCGAAAGACTTCCTCCTCCTTAACTAACTTCTTAAAAAGCAAGACACAGGGAGCAAAGGTCGAACAGCCTTGCTTTTGAAACTATGAAGGTAAGTTTCCCTCCGGGGGTGTCTTGTCGGTGTTGTCGCGGATGGGATCATGCAAGCTGTGCTCCTGCTACCTCCCCTCCCTTCCTCGGCGGAACCTCTTTGCATATACATTCTGTAAGATTACTTTGCGCGGTTTACACCCAGCCTTGCTCGTCCTTCACAACGCGGCCCCCGAAATTCGAGCGAGCTCTCGCTTGCCTTGCCCACCAGGCAAACTACCCTGCCAAGAGTTTCGCCTAGAAGAGAGGGTCCCTAATGTATGCGAAACTCTATATATATATATAGATAAGGGAGAGAGAAATTCCAAGTTCGGCGTGTTACCCACCTTTACGATGAGTATCCTTCCTATCCTTGTCTCTCACGGTTAGAAAAGGGGGTAGACGAGAGGAGAAGAAGGGAACACGCGTGATCCTAATTAGAACGCGTCCTCGTCGAGGTGTCGAAGTAAAAGCGGCTTTCTTGTTTCCGCGTTCGAGGGAGTTGTTCGAGGAAGGGAAGGAGAGAGTCGCAATTGAAAAACGAACGAAGGTAAGATCCGTTCGAGGGGAGAAGGAAAGGGGGGAGACTCTCGGGAAAATTCTCACGGAGGTACATGGCTTAATAGTATTCTTTACCACCCACATTTTTTGGGAATTTACATAAAAACGAGCCGGGGCCAGAGGTGACTACGAATAACCGCATTAACTTGGCCATCGTTTTAATATTTTTCGTTAACCGGAGGGAGGATGAAATTGTAATGAATTTCCGACCGATGTTGTATCTCTTATTCGTTTGAAAGCATATACTGAAATAATAATAAATACGTATTTTTAATTCTCAAATACAATGATATTAATAAAGAAATCGATCACCGATCTTTAATAAAAAAAAAAAAATTTCGTCAATAATCAAATCGAATTGGATAAAATTCGAAACGCGCGAGGTAATCGTCCCTTTCGAACGAATTCGAATTCCCAGAGCTCTCCCTAATCGGTCGCATAATCATTCGTCCCGTCGCGTATCAAACGGCGGCTGCATTCAATGACCCATAACGAGGCGTTCGAGGAAAGCACGGCGGAAAATTACGTGAAACGTGTTGGCGACGCGGCACGCGACACAACGTTGGCCGAGGGGCTCATTAAGGATTCGAGGGGCGGAATACAGGCGGCCATGCCGCATGATAATTACAGCGAAAGAAAGCACCGGCTCGGAGAGAGGAGAGGGAAAGAGCTCCCGAGAGATTACAGGATGTCCGGAGGTGAGAGGATTCCCCCGAAACCCTATCTCGACGACTAATAAAAATTAACAACCTCGAGGGCCGGCTCGAGGGAGGATTCGTGAAGAAGGATACGATGAAAGACGGGCCGCCACAAATAGATGATGACGGGTGAATAATAAATAATTATCGTTGGGGCCCACGCGCCACCCGTGAGCCCCTTTGCGGCTCGCATAGAGCACATATTCGTTGTGTAGTTTCCGGTTTATAAGTTTATATATACGTACAGGTTCCTTGGGAGGAGGATGGACAATCTAGATATAGATAGGAATTGTAGGCCACCCACACTTTTACAGAGACGCGATACGATTTTATGATTATCAAATAAATTGTGACCGTGATTATTATTTTCAAGAAAGAAACGCTTTTTTGTAAATAAAAATCAAACTATGGATCCATCTTGTAGATGAAGTGACAGGAGCCATAAGTTTAGGAAAATTAAAATTTTTTTTTTTATATATTAAATGATTTCTTTTTATCGATAATGTATGCTTTCACTCTTTACTCGTTTTGAAATTAATAAAAAAATTATCAAATAAAATGTATTGTCTTGCGGGTCTATTCGAAAAAGTACGAATGTTCCACGTGGCCGATCCTTTTAATCGGAACGATAAACATATCGAAATAATGATGGAGGATCGAGCATTTGTAAATCGTGCGAGCGGTTCGCGGCGGAAAGGGATCCTCCCGCCCCCTCCTCCCGTACACCTTCCTCCACTTTTAATTTTCAGGCGCGGCTAATTATGATTTACGGCAACATCGACGCAACATCCTGATCGGTACGCGAGATACCGCCCGCAGGATATTCAAATGCGATGAATATTGCTGGCCGCGATAAACGGCGCACGAACAGCGACAGACGAGATGAGAAAAGGAAAGGGAGAGAGAGAGACGAAATGGCTGCGAGACGAGTGGAAGGGAGAGAGACGACGCAGGGGCCGAGTGGAGGGGAGGCGCGCGTGTAAAGGATACGAGAAAAGGATTCTTAGTAGTCTATTCGGTATGCAAGATGAGCAGTCAGACTTGTACGCGCCGCGTCCCTTCTTCGCGAAAAGGGAAGAGAAAAAGAAAGGATGCGTATCCTTGCGTGTGGATTATTCGATGTATCGAGAACCGAGAGCATCATAACCTTTTCTCAGCCGATAATTCAGTGTCAAAGAGTTCGAGGAGATGAGAGGTTATGATTTGAAAGAGAAACGTTTAAAAATACCTTGTGTTATTAACCGATCTTATCTCTAGGGGAAATAAAAGATACGTATTTATAACTGCTGCCGGTTCATACGTGTTCTCACATGAATTACACCCGCGTGAAGATCATAGCCAGATAGTGCAAGCATTCTGTTAGAGCTTAAGTAATTTGTCGATATCTTATATGGGACAAGAGATGGGCAGGAGAATTAACCGTTGATGATTACGCCGTTCGTACGTTTAATGACTATTTCAATGTTATTTAAGTCGAACACGCGGCACCGTCGAATAATTAACTGCGGACAATACGATTTATTGCGTTAATAATAATACTATTTCGATATTCTTTCATCCAAGCTTCTATATTTACTCGTTATAACTTCAAAGCTTGAAATTAAATAATATCGAAAATGGACAAAAGTAATTGAAAGTTATTGTTAGAAACGATATTTCATTGAATAAAAATGACTGAGACTATAATATAATTTCATTAGAGCAAATTTTTATTACGACTTATTAATAAGATTAATAATTCTAACCTCATTTCATTTTCGTCGATTGTACAACGATAAATGAATTTCGATATTTGAAATTACTCGTTTCATTAGTTCCAATAGAGAGGATAATTCCGCGAATATATATTCGCGACGTGTAGTCGAATGTATAAACGTATAAACAAATACGAGCGATAAAATAACGAACAATATATGTATATACATAAATATATAATAATGATAACGATCGAATAAAGAAATAAATGTTGTATCTCGTTTACATTTCGTAATCGCTCGTTATTTTGTGCGAGCCACCGATTATCAACAGCGATTAGCCACTCGGGCGTGCCTTATATAGCGGAATGTATCGCGAAGCAACGATAGAATGCATGATTTGTTAGTCAATGAACCGAATAGCTACGAGGTAGCTATTCCGTGAACGAACGGCGAGATAATTGTCTCCACTCTCGGTAAGACGGTGAGAATATTACGCTCCGGTGAACGTACGTGATCGATCGTTTTAGAGATTATGTATTAAAGAAGATTATCGATTACCTTGTCAGATCGCTTTTTAGTAGGTGTGATAGTGCCATTAGGCCTGCCTTGGAGATCAGTTTCGCTAGCCATCCGGTTGAAACGTTGCATCCGCTCGCGGAAGCTTAATTGCTCGGTTGAGCCCGGATTCGTCGCGACAGCCTCATCTTCCTGCATGTTTTAATATCTCGAATTGTCAAGTCTAAGAGGATAGCGACGCTACTACGTTCAGCTACTGATAAAAGGCGGAACGAACAAAGAGGTAGCGATAGAGCAACAAAGAGAGTGACAAGAAACCGTGTGCGACATATATGTGGATATACTCGACGCGAATAACACACACTGGGAAAGAGTGCTTATCTATGCCATTACTATCATGCTACGGTGCTAATTAAAGCGAGACAATATATATATATATATATATATATATATATATATATATATGGTGTTTAAAGCATGCCAAATGACTGTAAACGAATAAACGAAAGTGTTTTGGATATAGGTTTAATCGCTCATGGATACGGATATCGATGTCGTTATGCAGAGAACGTTAAGCTTTCGATACAGGATGAGGTACACGCTACTGTCGTGTGGCGCTGTGATCGGTAACATACTGCGTAAATGACATTTATTGTAACCATGAACACCTTTCTACATAACCAAACCATGTACAACGCAACACTATTGCTCAATAATACCAAAATTATCTAACCTCAATAATTACCCCGATAAAGCGAAAACGTGTTCAACCATTTTATCGTTTGCACACTTATTTACATATATAACCACACCAGGATACTATAAACAACATAAGTAATACATACTAGATAACGTGCGTATAAAAAAACATGAAATTTTATCAAATTTTAATCGGAATGTAAAAAAAAATATTTTTTTAATCGTTATTATCTATTATATTTTCCTTCCTTCTTTCTGCTTCTTTTTTTTTTTTTATCTTAATAAAATTCCACGTTTTCGTATTTTTATTTTTACATACATTTCAAAAAAGAAAAAACTAACCTTGATAACTGCCTCCGATCCACCCCTATTTCTGTCAACATTCTCCTTATTTTCCATCTTGACTTTATCTTGACTTTTACGACGTGGTGGTACAGGAGGTGAGGGTGTTGAAAATCCTGTCTCGACACTTTCAACGCCATTTTTCCGCGCATTAATAGCGACCTCTTCACGATCAAAATTCGAACACGATTCTTCGCGGTTCGTATTATTGGTCGGAGGACTAAGAGGCGCGGGAGGTGGTGGTCGGTAAGGTGGCGGAACTCGTAAAGGAGAAAGCGGAGTTGATATATCAGGAGTACTTATGGGTGATATGATTTGTTCCGAAATCCCCAGATCTATAGGAAGTTGACGATACCTCTTCTTGAGAACTAAATATTTTTCACCCTGCACAAATAATTTCTTTCGTAATATATTTTATTATAAATATAATAATAAATGATAATTAATGAATATAATTATCATGTTTTGCAAATTTAAATATTTGAACGTTATATCGACGATTATTTCTAATTTGCATTTCAAGCAAATAAAACAAAGTTGATAACATAATGTATGATGAATACAGGAAATGCATTTAAAAAAAATTTACAGAATACAGAATGATATTGCAAAAAGATATTAAATATTCAAAGCATAGTATATATTATGATATATAAAAGATAAAACAAATGATAAATTTGTATAAATATTTAAAATTTAATAATAGTATACGCAATATATGATATATAATAAAACGGAGATTAAAAAAAAAGAGAAAGAAAATTTTTTCCAGATAACATTGAGTTTTCTATTAACCGCGCGAGACATTGAAAAAACCGGCAACGTCGCAAAACGCGCAACAAGTCGCTCCTGTCAAGGCGGAAGGAAATTGTTAGTCGATGACGTACCTCTTCGTTCTTTATAGTAGCCAGGGTGTTTACATATTCCTTGAACTGATTTCGTGCCTCGACTGTAACGTAAATTTAAACACTATTCACCAACTGTCCTTAGATTTAACGTTGAATGTGATAAGTATTAACGTCTATTCCGTGTTTACACACAGCATGCCGTGTAACGTTCGAGTCACACCTTGCGAAAGTAAGACACTCGTTCAACTACGTCGTAAATCGGATTTTCAACGTACCTCGCGTTTCTGGATCTGTCAAAAACTTCTTGAAGTACTTCACTACATCGTGATTACGAGCAGTACCCCCATTTTCCAATAAATATTGACGAATTTCTTCGAGAGACAGTTCACTGGGCGTCGCCATCTTGTCACTACTAGCCGACGTTACAGCGCCGCCGTTTCCACTTTTCACCGTACTGTCGATAAAGACGACTTCTGTGACGCACGATACGCATAGTGAATTCAGAATACGTTAAAATTAAATCAATTCTCTCAAACGAACTATTGTAGCTATTGCATGTAATTTTTTTTTTTAAATCCAAAATAAAAATTTAAGAATCGTGCGTTTAGTAAATATTAATACATTGTACGTGACAATACTATAAAAACATAATAACAATATTATCGTCGTCTGTATTGCAAAGTACAATATCGAACCAAGTGAAGGATATCTAATTGCTACTTCGAGATGCAAATAAAAATTATGTATGCGTGAAAATGAATACATGAATGCAACGTATAATTTTTTTCTTTAATAATGTACTAACGAGTTCATAATCATATCGCACCTTAACAAAAAAATTGTTAACGTTATTAGTAAAGAGTGCAATCGTTATTCCTCATGCATAACACATAATATACCAATCAATTTAATTCACATTATAATTGTGTAGGACTTGGTGGAATATGTAACGCGCGATCCAACTGTTAGCTCAAATCCCACGTCGTCGATACACGTATAAAAAACCGACGACCATGCAAAAACCAATTTTTCACTTCGAAGCCAAACATATTAACCGACGATGGAACTAGATATTTGATTCGATCCGCGCAAATAGACGATTCGTAAAACCTTTTAGCAGCCCGACGCGTTATATTCCATTCATGCAAACATCCGGCCAACGAACCCGCCGCACAAACTAATGCGAGTAACCATGCATCGCCATGCGATGGAGTTTTAAACACTGCGATTTAAGTGCTGCTATACGCATCGACAATGACCGATCGAATGATTGATTCTGATTTTTATTATGTTGTCTGATCTGTTTACGAGTTCAAGTTTGTCCAGTTTACTGTATAACTTATTTAAAATATTTGTTTTAACTAATTAAGTAAACGTACAAATATTTCGCAAAAAATAATCGAATTAATTATATAAATGATACTAATTATTGTAACTTTAACTTCTTTGGTTGCTTTCAATCGACATATAAATAAATAAATAAATATATATGACATCATTATCATAGTTATATTTTCAAATTATTTTATTATATTAGAAAAAAATTTATCTGTATTAAATTAAGAGTATGGTATACTAATGTGACCGATAATAGTAACAAATAGTTGTAGAAGTAAAAATGATCAATACTTATTTTGCAAGTATGCAAGATATACAGGAGCAACTTGCAAAATTAATATTGTTTTTTATTCATATAGAAACATAATTATTTTTTGAATCATCTGTATTATGAAATTATTATTTAACAATTATTAAAAACATTAAATTATTATAAATCGAATGCCATAATTGAAAAAATTAAGATTAGAATTATCAATATAATGATAAATTAAAATTGTAGATTTCATCTGTAATTTTGACGTAAAAGAATCTTGTAATGAAAAGAATTTTTATATTCTACTGTACTGTACTACAATTAAGCAGAAAGTTACTTAATTTAGAACAATTATATCTTAATGGTGTTGATAATCATATGTGGGACTTACGAAGAAAGTCTGATTTGCATAATACAGTATAGTCTTGAACAAAATTATTCAGATAATGATGTACTTCTATAATGAGAACAATTCTTGGTAACAATGTTTTGTAATGAAAAAAATAGCCTTACTAATCACCGACCGTGTGTAAAAATACATAATACAAAAGACGAAGAAAGGGAAGACGAGAAGGAATAAGTGTATACGTGTAGCACGCACATGAGTCTCCACGGGCAGGAAGCGTTATGGTAAGCCTTTATAATTAAATCCCTTTTATCGACATATATTCTAATGAAACGACGAGTAATGATTAAGTTCGGTCCTCTTAAAGAGTCCGCAACGATCGAATCATTTCCAATCGAAATGCAATTCTTGCAATATTTTTAATGGACCAAGATCACTGCATCGAAACGACTGACAACACCGTTTAAACGTGGCCATGAATGTGCATTAAGCGCACTTTGTAACGCCATTTACAAGGGTCATCACGATCGGAGAGATCAGCTCGATTAAAATAATTACAACCGCGTGGATACGAGGGATTCGTGTCTCTGGAAACCTGAAAAAAAAAAAAAAAAAAGAAAAAGAAAAAGGAAAAAAAATATTACTACGCCAAATAACAGTATCAGAGATCTCGAGGAGATCAGATGATAATCTTTATGCTACAGTAGCTGGCACGCAGCGTGTTTCTTTGATACAATTCTTCAAACCCAGCAGGATTGATGCACGAGATTGGTATTTCCGCGAACAAAATGTGTGTGCGGCAAGAGGTCGTCCGGGGGCGAAGCGTTTGCAGGCAAGAAGAACGAGCGGCCAGGAACGAGGACAAAGGAGTCGCGTCGACGCCCCGTGGCCCCGTAGGTGCATCCACGATATCATCTACCCATGTTCCTCTGCGTTATGCTTATGCTCGTGCATACGTAAAAGATGCGCGAGGTTGGAGCCGCTGCAGCATTTTATCCGGTCCCGGTGCAAACTGCAAAAGAGTTCGTGTGATCTACCGCCCAGTGATATGTCGCCGCCGGGATTCCAAAAGAGAACCGCAGACTTTCTTACCTCTTCTCCGTCCCTCCTCCTTTTATAATTCTGGCCGACCGTTTGTTCTCGCGCCATTTTAATTAATTCTTGAACAATGCGACGGTGGAATGATTTTTTATTGTACACGATTATCCGAGCGTGTACAAGAATTCATTATGTAATGTATGGTTTCCGCCAACTTCTTTTACTCTCTCCGCAGCAACAACCTGAAATGTTACTTCGGCCGCACGCTTGCTCGTTTGTGTACGAACGAGAATCCTGGCTCGCAAACAAGGCGCGCCTTTATTAATTGCCAAAGCTTCGAGAACGAGTTCATTCACGAAACACGGGTTTTACTCTTCCTCTTCGAATTGTTCCCATTTTTCTCGTTCCCGATATAATTCGAGATGAATGGATTCGAAATTTCGATAAATCCTTTTCGAATGGAATATGGAATAGTTTGGAAAACAGGCTATTGTTCATTTCGTACACTCTCATTCTATTGATAGAGGTATTGTACCATGTTATTTGTATTTGAAACAAGACCAAATTGCAGAACAGATCCATGAATGTAGTACGATTGGTACAACGGAACGAATAATCGACACTGTTCGCGATTCAGATCCAAATTCGCCAATAACCAATAATTAGATCAACAAATTAACCAAATTTACTGAATCTATGATTTCATCTAATTAATTTAAAGGCAATAAATGATCTGATAACGAGATATACAATAAATTGGATCTATAAAATCACTAAAAAATTCACTTCATTCTTCTTTCTTAACCTAACCTAATTTAATCAATCTTCTTTCTATTCAATTCACATTCACGAATTCAACTTCTTGTCCGAATATTGATATAAAATTCTCTTTGCTTCTATTAGAACGTAGATATTTTATAATCCAAAAAACGAGACACAATAAAAGCATTGGCATCACGCTCAATTTTTGCCGAAAAATTCGTTGATTCGAAATGGAAAGTCGCGAGTAGAGGCGCAAATGCGCTCGATTCGCAGCGTCTCTAGTGGCAAAAAGCAGCATCTAGATCATGCTGTCCTTTCCACGGATGGCAAGCGACGCCGCACTGTAACAGTAAATTCGAGGCTGAACCCGATGATGGACTTCGCGCTCTCTATAGTTTTTGCCATATAAAGGGTCGCAATGGTATCGTGGTATCCGACAGGATTCGACTTTATATATTCGTCCATAATTGGAGCGACTGCACTCACTCCAATTGGCTACGGATATAAAACATCCCGTATAAAGAGCGTACTTTGGTGGGTTTCTTGCGTTGTTTTTAGTCCCCGTACCTTTGGTGGTCTCGTTAGAAGGACAGTGGGAGGTCTTTGGGAAAAACGGCAATAACACGCAACAAAGTCCTCGCGTTTCTAGCCGATCTCATCGTTTCTGATCCCCTAAAAACCCAACGAGACACAATAAAAAAATTCGACGAAACCAGTAGTCGAAGCTCACGTGACCTCGTATCGTTCGTCTGCGCAATTATCATAGTATTATACATTATATACATGTATCGAGATAGCTTTAATCAATTTTGAAATAATTATCGCGATTACACAGATAACGGGAAAAAATAAATTTTAAAAGTATTCGAAAATAAGGTGGAACATTGAAAAGAGAAAGTAACCGGTTATTGAGGTTATGTCATACGCAGTATACGAGCAAAAGAATATAAATTCGAATACATCGAGAAAAAAATTGAGAAAATAATAACTTTTAACCCCATATTTCATCTTTGACAATACAATTATGATAATATAACCCATTTAAAAAAATTTATAACTTTTCTTATTTTGCTTCATATATATTTTTGATTCGTGAAACGATAAATCTGAGTGAAATAAAAGAAATATATTTAAAAAGAAACGCAATAATTCAAGAAAATGGGTAGATATCTATTCTACTATCGAAGCAATATTGTAGAATAGCGAGAGCTTCCTTTTGATGGGCTATGTACTTAAGTATACTTACATCGCACGGCAACGAACGTAAAACGTTTCGGTGAACAGAGTTATGGGCTCTAATGAGTCGAGGGGTTAAAGCGCGAGTCCCGAGATCCTCATGGCAAAAGAAGAGAGCTAAAACCGTATCGGACCGTTCAATCTATCCTGACTACCGTTTACCACGGCATCGTTTAAAGTGGCCACAGGTGCTCGCCCGTATACCATACCGCCCGTACCAAAAAAAAAAAAAAAAAAAAAAAAGGAGGAAGGAACGGATATAAGGACTGTGAGGCCGGAGGGGACGATGTCGTCGAGTATGAGATGTAATGTTTGGCTTTCTCATAGTTTTGCCGGGATGATTTTTAATACTTGATCGGTGCCGGCTCGGGTTTGTCGGCGGAAAGCCAGCTCAGAACTTCAAAGATTCGCGATCGACCACTTGGCTCTATACAGGCATTACATATTATCATGGCTGGTATCCAACCGAAGCGCGCGTGTCCCCTTGGTTCACGTCGTAAAGCGGCTTTCCGTGCATACAAAGTCGAGGGCTCAACCAACACTTTACGGGGTCGCGTTGTCGTTGGTTGGGCTAGAGGTCCGTGAAAAGAGCAAAGTATACCTTGGCGTACGCGGCTAATAGCTCGGCATTTTTTCTCCCGCAATACATATACCATGGAAATTGACCGGCTGTTTGAACGTTTCATGCGAAACATTTAATGTGGGATCGTAGATCAATATATCGCATTAAATAGATCGAAAGTACCTTGACAGGTGTTTATTTTTCACAACATGCATTTCAATTATGATAACATTACAGTTTGGGAATTTTTTCGCAGTTAAAATGTGTTCAAATATTATTTGAAGACGAGGGAACAACGAGATATTTCGAGGTAATCCAAAAATATATCAACGAATTTTTCAGAACGACTAACGACAGACCCAGTCATTCAGATCAATGCGACACCAATTGCGTTTATCGATGCGCCCGACGTTCCACGAGAATGTCGCAGTCTGGTGCGATCAATCTTTGACATCGATGTGACAGCTCATGCTATTTCAGAGTGTGTCCCGCGCGATAATAGCGACTGCCAAGTGGCGACTATTAGTAGAATTTTAAGCCAGATACGCCAATCGACGCGAGCGACAGGAGTCAAATTAAAACGCATCCAATAGGGAGAATTCGCAAAATAAAAAAAAAACAGAGAGAGAGAGAGATAAAAGCGGAGCAAGCTGAATTGGAACGTACCGATGGTACGAAGAAGGGCAGAAAGTACTATCAACGATTCGTGTCGCTGTCAGTAACGACGCATTAACGCATTCATATCTCGCATTCCAACCCTTCGTTCGACTGCTGCTCCATGTCCACACACTCGTTCTTTCGTACGCGTCCGCATGTAGCTCGCGAACATTCGAAAAATATCCGAGACGATCGGAGTGCTACATAACCAAAGAACGTGTTAATTACGTGTCAACTTGTAAAACTCGCGAAAACTCTCTACGATATGATGTTTTATTCGTATGCCAAGTATCAGTGGCAAAAAGTGTGTCACTAAATATAAGGGTTCGTTGATGTATTATACGTTAACTGGAATCACGCTCAAGGTGGCAGTACGAACGGGCGTCTATCGCGCGAATCACTCTTCTAGAGTATTACAATTTGTCATGCGAAATAACGAACGTCGCAAGAAACAGTGGAAAAAGTTGCGAGCGAGTTACGACGGTGACAGCGTGTAATAACGGCGGTTGGTAAACCGGCAATTTAACTCTTGTAAAGTATTTTTCTCGCGTTTCACGACTTCTGCACAATATGAATACGCGATGGCGATAAGTACAATTAACTTTTAACTCACCTGCGCCTTTATTATGCAATCAGTCACGAAGAGTCCTCGAGAAATTTTACCTCGATTGAAGAAGGAAAGCAATCAAAGACAAAGTATCAAGATCAAAGTTTAATTGCACGTTTCGTGCATATGTTTGGAATACAGGGTCTCTCAGTAATAGATGACCGAACGTTGATACGGCATTTTATTCCTAAAGATAAGAAAAGTATCATGTAAAATTCATTTTTTCAGAAAACAGGTGTAAATTTCATTAAAATAAAAAGATAATAGCAATACCTCTTATAATATAATAAAGATGAAAGATTGTATCACAATTTGTCGTTTTTGACGATTATGTAATTTCAATAACAAAAATTATTGCAAAATGAAAAATATAATAGAGAGTTGTTCCATACGTATCATGTACGCCTTCGGTTTCCAATTAACTTTTACTCGAGATATTCCGACTTTTATAGTTTTCTATAAAGCATCGTCGGACCAATTATATTCAAGTAAACGAATGCTCGCTTTTCATTGGTGCAACGGTGCTACATTCGTTGTTACATTCGATCTTTTTCCGTTACCTACTATATAAAATATTCGCGTTTCGTTACAATTAGTATAATAATGCAAAATAATTATATAATATATAATTATATATTTAATATAAGTAATTATATATTTAATATAATATATATATCTTTTGAAATTCAAAACTTAATTCACTGCATAACTGTGAATTTGATCGTGCAGTATCCCCACTCCTGACGTCATCGCAACACCATCCATCTAATTTTTAGGCTGTCAGTCCACGCGAGCACGTCGGTAATGTTGGTTTATATTTTCTAACCTCGCGTGACATTCTTTGTTTCGTTATACTGTGTTAACGATATATATAACAACAGTGATGGAAAATTCGTGGAATAAATTTTCGATTACAAATCGTAACATTTGAGGGCGAATACATACGACGTAAATTTACGCGTGTCGATTAGTGAAAGACGTAAACATATCGAGCCACGCATTCGCCACAGTTCTTCGAGCTATGGAAGAACGAACAACGTACGGATCGTCGAGAGATCGAGGCATCCTTTGCGAGTTCGAGGTTCGCGTTGTCCCAGGGAATCCGCTATGCCGCCCACGTCGTCGCCGATTACTGGGAGGTATACGTGAAAGGTAAGGGCAGTTCGATCGAGGATAACGATCGTTTATCGGCGCCAATGAACTATCGTCCTCTTGTCGACAGATCGATTCGAGGAAATGGAGAATTGCGGTAATTGCGATAAGTAACGCGATACACGATCGTTAGAAAGAACGATTTCGCGGTGGAGAAAGATGTTAATCGCTCGTACAAAAAATTTAAAACATTTATAGATATCTGAACCATTCGATTCACAGATCGAGGATAATTCTCGCGTCGCGAAATTGCGTCGTTGTTAATATTTTCTAAGATGGCGTCGCTCAAAGAAAATTTCGTGGTTAACCTATGAAGATAGAATAATGTCGAGCATAAGTGTACAAAACCACATTATTCGAATAGTATACAAAGTATCGAATAATATATTGAAAATTTTTTATATTTAAGAAAATCAAAAATGTGAAATAGTAATTTTTAATATAAATCGATTGTGAAATTGTATATATGTACTTGTACAAGTAAAAAGAATTGGTTGAATGGATTTTTTTATACATAATTATTCGGTTCGTACATATTATTTATTTCATTCCATTTCGTTTAATTTGTTATTATTAATTATCTGTTGCGTAATTAATTAATATTTGGCATTTTAAGAATGTTTTTTAACTTTTATAAATCAGTAATAGAACTAGTTACTTTTTGAGTAGGTACCATAATTTTTTAGTAAAATAATATATTGTTGTGATAATTATCATTTATTTTAATGAAATTTTAATAAAATATTTACAATATAATTGAAGTAGTATAGATAATTTGTAATTTATAAATTGTCTATAAATATAAAATAATACAAAGAAAAATTTCAATCGAGATTGTTCTCCTCTCAAATACATAAAACTTCACAATCAATTTCTTCAAAAACGAAGCCTTGTATTAATCTTCTTCACATTTCCTTCCTCTTCAATTTTCCATTCCTCTTCAATTCTTACCACGATATGCACTCCACCCTACATATGAGAAAAAGGGACATCGAGGGGAAGCAGCAAGCAAACGAGCCACGTAAAAAACAAGAAGCATGACGGAATATAAGTGAAATCGCAATAATTACAGGCGGCACGGATCGCAAATCCTGCAATACGGTAGTCAGTAGGCGGTATGGCCTACCAACAGGCGCATACAGGTATACGCAAGCTCTTTGTCGGACGGAGGTGGAGTACGGGTTATATTGGCGCCACCTCCTGCACGGTTAAGCGAGCGACTAGGGCAGACTTACGCCTTACGCCTCTCTCACTCCAACCCCACCCTCTGCCTCGCTATGCTATCTCGCTCGATCTCCCTTTCTCTCTCCCTCTCTCCCTCCTTTCTCCAACTCCACAGTCCGTCGCTCCTCGTTCTCCCTCGGTGCTTTTCCCTCCCCTCCGCTCCGCTCTCTCTTCAACTCTTTTCTCTCTCTCTCTCTCTTTCTCCTTCCCTCTTTCTCTACCCTCCCGCCCCTTCCTCGTACATGGCTCGCTCGCTCGCTCGCGCGCTCTCTGCCCTCCTCTCGTCCCTCTCTCCTCGCTGATGCTGCAACTCCGGCTCGGCTAACCCAACCTAACCCGCGGGCCAACTTCATTCCACGCCGACTGACCACCACCGACGGCCGTCGTCGTCCTCGACGCCGTCGTCGTCGTCATAGAACGCGGGTCACGCGACACGCCGTGTCGACGTCGTTACCGTGTGTTCGTGCGTTCTCCGTTCGGTTTTTTCGCGGGTCTTCCGACGACTATCCTCGAACGTTATATATATATATATATATATATACATATATATACACATATATATATATACATATATACATATATGTATATATATATATCTGGTTCACGACAGTGATAGGGAAACGGCCAACGTGTGAGGGGGAGAAAGAGGGAAGGCTAAGAAACGGTGAGAGAGAGGGAGGGAGATAGATAGTGACCAAGTGCGACGAAATATAGTTTTTCCGACCGAACCGTTCAAGGGAGGAAATCGGGAGAAATCTGGGAACCAGACACCCGGCGTGGAGACACGGATTGATCCAGACGTCCCGCCGCGCGGATTTAGTGTCCCGTTTCGACCCTTACACATTTCGACTGTGGAACGAGGAGGAAGCGAAAGAGGAGGGACGATCATGGACATATCGGAAGATTGTTGGGAGCACGTGGGACTGCTTCAAGAGGTCTCCGCCGCGGAACCACCCCCGCCACCACCCGCTCCCGACTTCCTAATTCAGCAACAGGAGGTGAGCAGTCCGTTTCTTTTTCTTCTTCGATTCTTCGGTTTCGCGATCGAGCGTTCTTCGATCGATACGATTCGAGAGAAAAAAGCGCGGGAGATTGAACGCGTTATAATTTTTTTGCAAAGTGTCGATTTAAACGTCCGTTTTATACTTTTATTTTATTTTATCGTTAATACGTTAGCTATTTACGTTATTTTTTTATTATTTGTGGAAAAGTATATATGGTTATTAAGATAATATTACAAGGAGACATGGTATAATTATTGCTTAATTACTTGAGATAAAGGGATACATATAATTGACATTACTAATTATCGTTAGTGACGTAAGATTTTTAATTTTGTACTTATCAGTCATTATTTTGCGCGATATCACTAGATTTTCTTCCGTTCTTAAGTAGGATAGAACAAAAAAAATCAAAAATAGGCTAGTTATGATAGATAAAAGAAATCGGTTGATCGTTTGATTTTTCTTTGGAACATGGTGTTTAAATTAACTGGAACTTGTATATTTAATAAAGCTAAAGTATTTAAAGTAATTTATATGCACGTACTTCACGCAGGTGAAGTATACACTGTCACACGTTATCATAATAACGCGTAGTGTGTGCTGGTTTTGTTTCGTTGGAAACAAACGTAGACATTCCATAAAGCGACCGTTTCAAAAATGGTTGTCGAAATTGGTAACAACGATAGCGTAAATTAATTTAATAATCATCGTGAATATCCAACATGTTGGTGGAATTGATATTTCATACGAAACGGACGAATGAGATCGATAAAAAAAACGTTCGAACGATTCTATTCTCGGGTGGGAATGTTTTGTACAACGACCACTTCGTTAACGAATTTCAATTGTAGATATGAAATCAAATCTCTGTTACCCTCTAATTGATGCATTACGAATTAAAACCGCACGGTGCACGCGATCATCTAGTATTATATAGCTTTTATCGCGATATTTCGATGGCATCGCTGCACTTTTCTCTCGAACAATTTCGCCAACGACATCGAATCACTTTTATCGAATTAATCGTCCGATATATAGCCTCTTAGTTCACACCAATTATTCCCAACGTGCATCAAAATCTTCAATTACACATTTCGAATTTCGAATCTCGAAGCATATCGCTTCCTCTGTACTTATTTTATTTTAAATAATATCTATAAAGGGCGTGGAAATTTGATTCTCATTTTGCCTCTCGACAAAATGACAGTTAACGAAAGACACGAAGAGGTATTGAGAAGCCGAACATTTGAAAAAATTTATGACGTATTGTTACCGTGTGAAACTAGTCGCCTCGGTGGTGGGGATAACTCCTTTAACACGCATCCGCAAGAAGTGGCCGCGCATATAACGAATTAAATACCGTAATTCTCTGCCCTTCTAAAAGCATCGTGTATCCAAGCTGGACGTGACAGGACTTCGAAATCGAAAGAACCGCAGCTGTCCCTCCCGTTCTTTCGATTTCTCTGTTTGTTTAAGCAGAGCAGCCGGTAATAATCGTGCGATCAATCGGTAACGAAGAATTTAGATATCATTATGGTGTTCGGGAGAGGGAACGTGACGGTTGACCTGTGGGTCGAGATCTAAGAGTGGGGGGGGGGGAGATGAACGGAAGGCACGGGCACTCATTCCGTTTCAATTTCGGTGTAACGAGCCTCTCTCGCGGTTGAACGGTATGGATCCATAGAGAGCCCTGTAATCATTCCGGAAATTATAGGCATTTATCCGCGGCATGAATGAACGGATAGGAAAGTTTAAGAAGATATCGGTGGCATCGAAGTGCGTCAGAGGCGCGTGCACGGTCCCCTTTGGAGAACTCTCGCCCCTTCTGCCAATTTCTAGAGGCACCTGCAGCTGTACAAGACTCGATCGAGAGGCCCAGATTCATGTATTCCGTTCTTCTTCTCTTTTTTCTTCTTCGTTATTTTTTTTTTTTTTATTATTTTTTTAATTCTTTTTTGGGGTACGTGTGCGTGCACATGGACGAAATTCTGGGACACGAACTATGTATCGAGGCTCGGTTAATTCTTCCTTCCCGACGGTAATAACTGCGCCAACATAAGTTGCAATCAGCTGTCCGTACGTATGGGTGTGTACATTACGCGGCACGCATACTCGCGTGTGCATTATTATGATAAACGATTATATTATATAGGGTGTTCCAATTTTTATGTGCAAAGTTTGTCAGTACGTAATATCCTTATAAATAATAATGATGGTTATACGAAGCAAATATTTCAACAGATTTTTAATCATAGATCGTGCGAGGATCGTTGTGATAAATTATCATATTGTATAGGGTGTTCCACTTTTTAAGTGCTAAAATTTTTCAATACGTAAGATTTCTACAATTAGAAACAGAATAGAAGTAGAAACAATTACCTCGGTGATTTCTAGCGTTCATTATCTTATCGAAGCTGACGATGACAAGTGAAAAAGTGGGGGGAAAAAAAATAGAAACAGATAAATCAAAGGAAACAAAAAAAAAAAAAAATGAAGGAGAATACGTACAACAGATTTACGAAACATAAATTAAAAATTTTAGAATAAACTGTAACATTTAGTTTCGTTTCTATCTATCTTCTATAAATCGCAGGAAGGATAATAATGGAGAAAAAAACTTTTTAAAAAATACATTCGCCTAACTTTTTAAAGCTACTCGACGGACGGTTAAAATTCATCGTTGCTTATACGCGACGTCGAGCGTGAAAAAGAAACTGTACACCCTGTATACACGTATGGATGTACACTCGGCGCCGTGTAGAATTCTCGAGAGCCTCTGCCGTTATTATTATTAAATTGCTTCCTTAGTGCACGCGAAGAATTATAAACAACTGATACACAGCCTTGCAGCGTTGTTACTCTTCCCCCCGGCTGATTTTAATACGTTTCAGAAGATTAAAACATTAAGTGTTCTTCTTCTTTCTACGAGATTTGATTGTAAAAATTATCGGAACGACGTGGACACGTTGCACAACAATTGTTATTACGAGGAAACGTTCGATCTCGAATAAAGGAATCGAGCGTTTGGGGGAAGGGGGGGAGATAATTACGCGCTTAATTTTAATTTTAATTTACAATAATATTTTTTTCTAATTTCTTAAATTTGGATTAATGTGTCCATCTATAATACGATGTCAAAATTCTTTGTTTAAATTGTTCGTTTATAATCGTGTTTGTGAAAATTGAATTTTGTACGATATAAACATCCATAGTCGTGTTAGGATGAAAATAGATCGCGTCTATCTTGATCTTTATAATTAAATTTAACTTTATTTAGAGAGAATAAAATTGATTAGAATATTATTATTAGAGTTCGAGTTATAAACACAATGCATAATTTTATTAATTGCATTAAAAACGTTTCTCGAGGTTAAATAAATTAAATTAGTTAAATAAAATTGAGGGTATTTAAGAAAGATTCGTAAACAAACACGAGAATTAATTGTACTATTTCCTTGAATCTCTAATTACTTAAATCAATAAATAAAATTGGCATTAAGAAAACAATAAACTCATGACGAATATCACGTTTCATCTTATATCCAAAAACCGTTTGAATAAATAGATAAAAATCAATCCATGTTTTCCATTGAATAATTAAAAATAAAGGTAAAATATTAAGAAGACAGATATAAAATTAATGTTCTATAATCGTTTTGCATCTTTATTTGCATTGTTCAAGGCCCGTTTAAATAAAGATAAATAAGTTAAATTAAAAAAGGGGGACAAGGTGAAAAAAAAAAAAAAAAAGAAAGAAAGGGAGAGAGGAGAAAAAACGCACACGAGGAAGGAATACGAAAATCGAGGATCGAGGATCGAACTCGTGTTCACCTATGCTCGAGTAATGAGTCCCGATATTCCCACACGGGCCCATTCTGGCCCGCCGTGGGAAACTCATACGTGAGTCGTATCCCTCCGCCGAGAGACTTGTCCGTTTTTCGACCGGCTCTCGATTATTTCCGATCGTGCAAGCTGCGAATATTATTTTATTTTATTTTTTATCT